TGCCTCTGCGCGTCCTGGGGAGGTACATTTGTTGCGCGCCGGAGACGACTTGACGCCGCTGAGATCGGAGATCAAGCTCTGACAGGTCACACGTCGCTCCTTTGACGCCGACGTGACTCACCCGTGCAGACCACATCAGGACACGGTCTCGACGCGCTCGGTACGACGCCTGCGACCTGTCTCGGGTCAGGTGGCACGACGCTCATCGCGCCTACCAGCGCTGCCGTACAGGTTGCCACGACGAGGTCGAGCACGCTTCTATCCGCTCGCCGAGCCTTCCTTTCCATCCCAGTAGGCAGCCTGGGAACGGTGGCGGTCAGAGGCAAAGCCTACGAGGGGTGGTGGAACCACATGTCACGGCTACTGCCGGCTCCACCCCACGATAGCCTCCGAAGGCTGACTTTGAGGCACCATCATCGGACGATGTCGACGAGTTGGGTCGCTCTCGCGGTAGCCAGATGACCTCTCTTCCTAGGATCATCGGCCATGGCCGCAGGAAGCGCGGGGGAGGGCGCTGGAAGCAACACGGAGCTCCGTTGGAGACGTTTTCAAGATTAGCGTGTCAGAGTGAAATGGCACTAGCCTTTACGGCACGTCCTCTGGACCTTGAAGGCTGAACTTGAAGCTGTGCCGGTGCGCCAAATCCCAAAACGCACAAAAGCGTGCGCGGCTGCATTTCCTTTTGGGACGCCGAAACCAATTTCATATGAATTTACGGCGCATCAGGGGGAGGGAGCTTGTCCCACTGCCGCTCCTGCTGCCCGCGCCGCCCCGACCGCCCCGCACCCGCCTCGCCCTCAGTAGCCCAGCTCCTTGACCAGCGCCGCATACGAGTCCTCCTCCTCGGGCTCCGGCGCCGCCCGCGCCGCCCTCTCCCCCGGCTGCCGCTCGCCGGCCCGTGGCGGGTCGAGGCCGAAGAGCAGCAGAAGCCGCGCCTGCGCCGGCCTCACCGCCGCCTCGAGGTCGGCGAGCCACGCCGTCTCCGTCAGCAGACGCTCAACCTCGACCAGCCTCGCCTCGCCCCCGCCGTTCCCGGCGCCGTCGCCCCCGACCCCACCGCCCCCGCCCCCGCCGCCGCCGCCGCCGCCGCCGACGCCGCCGCCCTCGCCGCCCCGTCCCTCGGCAGCCTCGCCGCCCTCGAGCGGGTCGCCGTAGGTCAGGAAGTGCACGTAGAGCGCGTCCGCCGCCGCCTTGCGAACCTTTGGGTAGCGGTGGCCGAGCAGCAGCAAGACCGCACGCAGCAGCGCTCGGAGGAAGGGCCCGGCGC